CTACACTCAGCAAGCAGCCTGGCTGCAGGCACGGGGCGCAGCCCGGAGCATGTGTAACTCATTACCTCTGCGAGCCTCCCATTTGCGGCCGCCGCATGACGCCGTGAGCGTGCAGGAGTGTCTGAGGCCGCAGGGTGAACATGACTACAATATTTTTCTGACACTAACACCTTTCTCTGGCCCTCAGGAAGGACCGTGGAGGAGCCAGGCCCAGCCAAACACCACCCACACCCCGCCCTCTGCCTTCTCCGCCTCCTGGCGTCAGACCCAAGAGGCCTACAGCTACACAGACAGGAAAAGAAAGGCCACACGGGGGAAGGTGAGAGCAGAGGGGAAGAGGGAGGGAAGGGGGGGAGAGGGGCAAGCGGGTCCAGCTGGCCCCCATTTGGGTTTCTGTTCAAAGAGAGGTAGAAGTGGTCGAGGAGGTCATAGGAGGCTGGGCTCGGGGAACTTGGAGGTTGCCTTCTGCCATCAGCCCTTCCATGCAATTCCAGCAAGACAGTTGGAATGGAAGCTATTCCCCCTGGTGGCACAGAGGGGAGGCCGCCCTGCCCTTGGGGCGTGCCCATCAACAGGGGGCTCCCATGGGGATGCTGACAGCTCAGACCCAAGGGAGGAGGCAGGGTCCTGAGACACGGCCCAACAAGGGGTGTGGGGCGGGGGCGGGGGGTGGCGGGGAGGTCCCAAGATGTCCGGGAGCAGGGGCTGTGGGCGAGCGCCCTGCAGGATGTGGGGATGCACCATGCAGGAGCTGGGTGAGATGGCCTCTTATGGAGGGGACAGAGGAACCAAGGCAGGTAACAGCCCCTCCCCCTCCCCTCTCACCTGCTACCGGAGAAAGAAGGGGAGAGATAAAGACAGGGTAGGAGGGAAAGAGAAGACAAGTTAGGAAAGGAGGGGGGAGGGGGAGGGAGAGGAGGGGAGGGGGATTCTCAGTGCATCACCTCCGAAATAACAAGTTTACGTCCTCATGTCTTTAAAGTCCCACCTGCATTCAAGTCTGAGTCACACTTTAATATCTGTGCTGCATTTTTGCAACTTTGCTTCCCCAGATCCTAATAACCCCAGGGCCAATTGGAGACACCACCTCTCCCCCCCATCTCCTTTCCTTCAAGGGGAAAATCCTGGAAGGGACTCAGAGCCGCTGCAAGGCCTACTGGACGTTACCATTTAAATCTACTCAGGGCCCATGAGGCGGCTCGGGCCTCCCTCCCTTTCCCCATCTCTGTCCACCCTCTGCTTTCCCATCAGCCTCCCTCTCCCCCCACAGCCCTTCGTCTCCCTCTCCAGGTACACTCTCCAGAGATGAGGATCAAAGAACAAAATCCTGGGGAAACAGATCCAATCTGGCTTGAATTTCCTCAAGTAAGAGCTCACTGGTTTCCTCTTAGAAATGAAAGGGAAGGGGGGAAAAGTCAAACCAGAAACCCACAAGCTTAGGTGGCTGATTTCATCTCAACACTCTGGTCTCTCCGGATTCCTCACGCCAACCCCCCACCCCCAATGCCTGGAGGCCAGATCACGGAAGAGTGGGGGAGACCAGACAATTTAGAGATCAGGCTTAGGATGGATTTGTTTTGCCACCTTTAGATTTCAAGAACCCAATGTCCATTCATTCATTCATTCATTCATCCAATAAGGAATTAGTGAGCACCTACTATGTGCCAGGCTTAAGAGACATCAGTGAACAAAACAGAGATACCCGCCTTTGTCAAGCCTATATTCTTCCCTCAAGGAACAGACAGTAAATATAAGCATAATAAATAAGAATTACATAGTGTGTTAGGGGGGAATAGGACTATGGGATAAAGGAAAAAGAGAAGCAAGGAAAGGGGCGGGGAGTGCAAGGGGACAGGAAGCCTAATGGGGAAGGTGATATTTGAGCAAAGACTTGAAGGAGGTGAAAGAGCAACCTTCTGGGGGGCAGAGGCCCCGGGTGAGTATGCCAGCAGGGTCAAGGTGAATGTCAGCAGCCTCCTTGGCTACTGTCAGCACCTGGGTTATTACTCTCATTAGGCGGGATGCTTTGTGGGCTTTCTCAGGACAGCATCATGTTCCAACTCAGGTTTTCAAAGGACCACACCCTGAATGCAATGACCAGGTCTGTTTTGATGCACAGAATTCTAGAACTGGACAGAACCTCACAGAGACCTCCTCTCTGCCCTGCCCCCATTGGCAGACATGGAGGCCCAGAGAGGGATGTGACCCAGTCAGGTCACATGGCCCTGGAGGACTGAGAGCCTCCACCTCACATCTTCCAACTTGTGTCCACACTGCAGGGGTGCCGGGCCTCGGGGGACCCCTGAGGACTCCTACTGGCACGGCTCTAAAATTGTCCTCTGATCGGATCTCCTCCCCGCTGGAGGCCTGGAAGGTACAGTGGCTGAGACTACTGTTATTTTCAGTGCTTCTGGTCCAAATGGTCTTTTTAAATCAGGGGTGCAGAAAAAGAGACAGCACGATGATGTAAGGGGTATGAGGCCTGGTGACACTTCACACCCTTGGCCTCTCCCTGCCCTGGGGTCCCTGCCCTGCCCCGACTGGCACCCCAGGCTGGCCCTGGTGGTCCTCCAGGCTCCCCCACCATGCTGTAGCCCAGTTCTTTCTTGCCAAGCCAGTCCTCTTTCCTGAGGGGCTGGTAGGGAGAAGGCGAGATCAAGGGCGTGAAAACCAGCGTGGCCTCTGCTGACGTCGGAGTACCGAGCACTGGCCAGTGACCCAGGCGTCCCGGGCGGCCGTAACCTGACAGAAACACTGGCCCGGCTTGGTACTGACACAGCTGGTGATACCTTTCCCCACCCTCCTCTTCCCTTACAAAATTGTGTTCAGTCTTTAAAGCCTTTTCTGGAAAGGCTTCTCCTAACTTCAGTACAGTAGTCCCGCCTTATCCATGGGGGATACTCCCAAGACCCCCAGTGGACGCCCGAAACCATGGAGAGTACCACACCCTATATGTACTATGTTTTTTTCCCTATATATACACACTGTGGTAAAGCTTAATTTATAGATCAGGCACAGCAGGAGATTAACAACAATAGTGAATAATAAATAGAACATTCATAACAATATACTGTAATAAAAGTTATGTGAATGTGGTCTTTCTCTCTCTCTCAAAATGTCTTATTACACTGCACTCACCCATCTTCTTGTGACGTGAGGATAAAATGGCTATGTGATGAGATAAAGTGAGGTGAATGACCCAAGGCCTTCTGATAACAGGTCAGAAGGAGGATCATCTGCTTCCAGACCACAGTTCGGTGTGGAGAACAGACCATGGAAAGCAAAACCACAGGTAAGGGGGGACTACCATGCTGACATGTATTTTTGCCTACTTTATGTTATGGGTAATTGTCCCCAGGCCAGTCCCTTCCACTGAGATCATAGCCCTTTGAGGGTAAGGATGGTTCAGTTTCTCTTTGGAGCTTCCTTTGCACCCCACCCTTAGCTTGACACATGGTAGATCCTCGAAATATGTTTGTTGAATGGAATTCAGAGGAAGAGCTACAATGGTGGGCAGTTTACTAGGGCAGGGTGTGGGGGCTTATCGGTCAGGAGCCCAAAGCTTGTCTCCTCTTCCTGCTGAGACTGTCCCAAATCCCTCCATCTCTGAGCTACCCAACTTCCCTTCCAGCACTCAGCACCTTGTGGGAGGAGAGACACAGTTAGAGCAGGATGGGGAGGCATTTCTCTCTTTGAGTAATTTTGAGACAAAGGCAGCTAGCAGAGTGGAGAGAAAATATGGTGCTTGAAAGAGCCTTGAGAAAGGCCTGCCAAGTGGTTAATTTCTGTAAACTTGACCGGTCATGGGTGCCAGGTGAAACAGTGTTTATGGGTGTTTCCAGATGAGACCAGCATTTGAATTGGTGGGCTCGGTAGAGCAGATTGCCCTCCCCAGTGGGAGTGGGCCTCATCCAATCAGTTGAGGGCCTGAATAGAGCAAAAGGCAGAAGACTTTGCTTTTTCCTCCTGCCTGCCCGCGGAGTTGGGACATAGCATGTCATCTTCTCCAGCCCTCAACTGCAGTTTACACCATTGGCTCCCCTGGTTCTCAAGCCTTCTGACTCAGATCGGATTACACTACCCACTTCCCTGGGTCTCCAGCCTGAAGTTGGAGATCGAGAGACTCCTCAGCTTCCATAATCACGTAAGCCAATTCCTCATAATAAGACTTTTTATATACATATATATCCCCTTGGTTCCATTTCTCTGGAGAACTCTATGACAGCCTGTCTCTACCTAACTGGCCGTAAGTCTTTATGAGACTCTTCTGTAAACTTCATTCTATTCAGCTTTGAAGTGGGGACAATGCTCTCCTCCCCTGTGCTCCCTGCAAAGAGGAGTGTGTTCATTCTTGTAGCAAGCATTTATTAAGCACCTACTAAGTGTCAAGCTCTGGCTACACAGGATACAGTCTGTTGGCAAGGTGCTTTGGGCTCCTTTGGAAGAAGCATCCGTTGAATTTCCAGTTTTAGCAAATAACCAGTTCCCAAAGATGCAGTGGGTCCCCGGGATGCGGAACTCCTTCCTGTGGGAGTGATCTGGGACCTCAGACCCAGGGGGAGGATGAGCACCTTGACGAGGTATGTTCTCTCCTCACAAATGCTTTGGGAAATGGACTGGGGGCTCCTCACCTGAGAAGGTCTGGACTCACTAGCTCAGATGCCTTTGCCTGACCCCAGCCTGACCCACCCGGAGGAGAGGAAGGCAAAGAGGCAAAAAGCCTGCCCTAGCAGTCAGGAGACTCAGTGCTGGAACACCTCTGTGACTGACGGGCTGTCTGATCCTTAATCACCAGCTCCACCAGCTCATCTGTGAAATGGACACACATCTTGCAGGTCACACAGATTTGTAGAGACGCAGGAATTAAAAGACCTTTCAAAGCCTGAAATTCCATGTAGGAAGTATTAGACGGGCGGTCACGACAGCCCGGGGGCAATGCCAAGGTCGGGTAGGGAGGCAGGGCCGGCCTTGTAGTGTAAGACGAAGCCAGAGGCACTCACCATCCTCACATAGGTTCAGCTTGGACAGGCTCCTGCCATCAAAGGGCTCCTCAAAGATGGAGCTGGTGTCCCGGTCGCTCACGGTGTGCAGGTACATGGCTTTGTTCTCCATTCTGACCTGCAGCAGCAGCAGGAAGAATAGTGAGGGGAGAGGAGAGGGAGGAAGGAGGCAGGGGAGAGAGAGAGAGAGAGAGGATAAACTATAGGCGGACACAGAAATGAATGTGCAGAGGGGTGTGTGGGTGGCTCAGTCGTTAAGCGTCTGCCTTCGGCCAAGGTCATGATCCCAGGGTCCTGAGATCGAGCCCTGCATCGGGCTCCCTGCTCTGCGGGAAGCCTGCTTCTCCCTGAGCCTGAACACCCGAAGCCTCTCATCGACAGGTGCCACCCACTAGGTCTCCCGACTTCCTTCCTTGGTGCTTCAGAAGGCCGAGGCCCTTTGGACCTTTCTGATCATGGGATCCATCGATTTGTCTCAACAGCCCTTGGCTGGGGCCAGAACCTGAGGCAGAGGGGCCCTAAGGGCCATGCTTGGTGAGGCCTGGAGGAGCTGACCCTCCTGACCCCCATGGAATGATTTCCCAGCCTCTGGAGCTTTGGACACATTAGAGAGACTTGGGCTCCCGCTCTGTGTTGGAAATGTACTGACATGTTCCAAAGGAGCTGGGTGCAGTGGGACGACGGCAGGGATTCATCACCCAGCCAAGCGCAAGGAGCAGGCGGCCTTGGTGGAGTCCCCCGGACACTAAGACCTGGGAAGCCGGAGACCAGGGGATGGGCCAGTGTCTGCATGGCCTCCTGAGGCCGGATGGCTGGGGCTCTGGGTCTACGCCATGGTGTTCCGGGAATGTACCCATTCACTTGGGAAAACGGCCTGCTATTTGAAGTAAACCAGCACCATTTCCATAAGTGCATACAACACCATCCCATTTTGTAATAGGTACACGTGTCCTGAGGACGTGACAAGAAAGATTATATTTGGAGATGTTCCGGGTTGCTCTTTATCAGAAGACTCTGGTGGGGATTGTGGGGATTTTGTGCTTATTTTTGTTTGCTGGATATTCTGGGTTTTCTACAACGTGTTTGCATTCTTTGTATAATAAGGAAAACCTACTTTGTGAGTCAAATTACAAAGTGTTTATTTACATAAAACACTTGCTGTTCTCTTTCTTACATATATGCTCGGTGATTTGACAAATTACTTTCTAATTTCAGTTCCGTTCCAGCCATAAATTTAGCTTGACCTTTGGTCCTGATGCTCTTGGGCGATCTTGATATTGAACCAGAAATCCACTTTTAAAGAGCAAATTCTCTGGAAGATAAAAGCCCCTGGGAGGATGGATGGGTCCCAGGCCCGGTGTGGAGCAAACTCAACTCTGAGACCCAGAGAGCCGAGCCAGGGGTCTACCACCTGGGAGGGGATGACAGGGGCCTGGCAGGTGGCATGGGGTGGGATGGGGGGCACAATGCCTGAAAGGAGCAGCCAATCAGTTCCTCTTCGGAGGCAGTGGCCACGGGGGCCTCAGCATCGTGTCAGGAAATAGGGATAATGAAGGAGGAGCCTGGTTGAACCGCTCTGGCAGGCAGAGCAAAACCTAAACCCCTTATTTTCATGGCTTGATGTTAGTCTCCAGAGACCTCTGACATCAGGGCTGAGAAGAGGTCGGAAGTGGCCAGTTGCCATACAACTGTCCTTTTGATGGCCCAGGAAGGACGGACAGGGGCTTCTGCTTCAAGTAACGAGGTGCCGCGTGCCCTGCACACAGGTGCGCACATGCGCACACGCACACATGCATGCAGGAACGCACGGGCAGGGTGTTCACAGCTTCTGCGGGCCTTTCTTCCAGCCTGCAGGAGAGGGGGGCCAGGGGAAGCCCACAGCCCTGCCAGGATCTCCCCTCCCTGCCCCAGGGCTTCCCTGGAGCCCCCAAACCTCTCCCGCCCAGCTTCTCTGCTGCAGTTATGTCCGGTTTGCTAACCTCCCAACACCCATGCTCCATCCAAGTGCTCCACCCACTATGAGCTTCTAGGTGGGGCCCCCTGAGCGATTCCACTGCTGCTAAGCTGCAGGGTACCCTCCCTTGTTTCACAAGCACTAAGTGCAGCACCCCTCCCTCTGGCCTCCATCCTGGGGAGCTGCAAAGCAGGAGGCCAGTGTCTCTTCTGCAAGCCATAATCCTGTCTCTGCCAAAGGCAACAGGCGCTGTTTCCCAGAGGTCACACAGGCCTCTGGGCAGGGCTCGATGGGGTGCTTCCATGCTGGCGGTGGGGGTGTGGAGATGAGCTGGGGCCAGGTTAGCCCCATCTTCCCTTCCACCGTCCCCTCTGCTGATCAGCTCCTGGATCAGAGCTGGAATGCATGGCTTGTTATCTGGAATGTGTCTGTAAGGCGGCCCCTCTTCTACCACCTCCCCACCCCGGGGCTGGTGGAGCAGCCTGGGGAGGCTGTTGAGAAGAGAGGCCAGGGCGGAGCAGAGGCCAGATGTGAGTGAGATGAGATTGGAAGTGCTCAGCCAGCTCTGCTAATGTTTGTTACTTGGGAAGGAAACCTAAGAATGTTCTGTCTGCCCCAGGTTTTATTTTGAGCTGTTTTTCTTTCTTGGGAAATGAGGGACAGGAATTTGAACACTTCGATCATTGGTCTTACAGCCGTTGGGGCCAAGTTTGTGCTCTCAAGCAAGGTGCAAACTCACTGCCAAGCGTGGTGATAATAGAGATGATCTGCACCTCTTGCGCGTGCACACGCCCCATTTTCATCCAGGCTCTCTCTGCCCTCTCAGGACCACTGTGAGGGGGGCAGGTAGCATCAGTGTGTTGTTCCCACTTTAAAGATAAGCCAATCTAGGCCCCAAGAGGCAAGAGCCAATGATACCAGGCAAGGGTAAGGCACCAGGGAAAGGCGTCCCACCCAGGGCACTGACCCAGCCACAAGGCTGCTTCGTCCAGAAAGCATGTATCAGTCCCTCTCAGGGATTTAGGGTCCCAAATCAGGCAGTGAGGAGGGTCAGCGGGGCCCTGGGGCCAAGGAGAGGATCTGAGAGCTGGAAGGGAGGGGACCAGGACCATAGAAACATGAGCAGGGTGTGGATGCCAAAGTGACATACGGAGAAAGCTCGAGGAGCTTGGACTTTTGTGTTTCAAGTCAAAGAATGGGGCCTTCCTCCCCTAGGGACGGGACATCTTACTGGCCTCTTAGGGATGTTTTGATGCCACATTTTAGAGCTGAAGCACTCAGATATCCATAGCTCCACCCCAGGCAGTTCCACATAGGCCTACGGGGGCAGGGGAGAGCTCAGAGGACACGGGGTCCTGTCCTGGAGCCACTTCCTACTACTCGAGACCTGGCCCAATCCGCTGAGCTTGTTCATCACCTCTATGAAGGGGAGAAGCGCATCTGCCAACCACTCAGTTATGGGTAGCCTCTGGTGGAATAGTGCACAGGGAAGGGCTTTATGAGCAAAGGTACACAGCGAGTTAGTGCTGGGAGTCCGGAGAGAAAACCCCCCCAACCCCGGCATCTTCTGATCCGGCCAAGCAGTTAGGGGAGGGGCGCCGTCTCCAGGTTCCTGAGGCTTCCCTCCTGCCAGTCAGGTCCAGAAACAATGCTCTTCGGGGTTCCCTTTGCAAAAAGCAATCGTGAATACAGAGCAGAGCGAAATCTGGACCCTTACTCACAAGTCACTCTGTAGGCAGCAGAAGGACTCGATCGATCTTCCTGCTGAAGGTAGCATGAGCCTCACCTGTTGCTGCAGACACAGTGTGTCTGGGTTCCAGCATCTAATTCTGCAGAGCTCGCATCTTCTCTTTGAATCGCATAGCTTTAAACTCATCGAAACCCAGTAAAAATCAGGGGGCCCTCTCCGCTAACGGTTAACCTAAATCAAAACCCGAAGCTGGAAAGGTGCAGATGTTAAGCTGTCCCTTCACACGTCCCACCAGTGGCATGCACGACCGTCCACACACTTCACACATGCAGAGGGACAGTCACCTGCACCATCGGCTGCCGGCATCGGCTCCCGAACTGTGACACGAGCCAGGCAGAGTGGATCCCCACTGGCCCACAGCTGGAACCTTCCCACCTGGCGCTGCGCGCCCAGGCTCCGCAGCCCGAGATGCCCACCCGCAGCGCCCTGCTCCGCCGGCCACATCCGGGTCCCCCACAGCGGGGGGCGGCTGCCTCCGGGACACTGTGCGCAGGTGCTAGGACAGAGTTAGTGCCAAGACTCACCTGAGCGCCCCCGCCAAGGCTGCAGAAGCGCGGGTCTCCTCAGTTCCCGGCCTTCGCCATGGTGACCGAAAAGCTGGCCGCTGTCACCGCACTGAGACCCAGGCAGCCCCGCACAGCTTGTCCCCACAGCCAGCCAAAGCCAGACGGAGTCATAGAAAGAGGCTGCCCCGGTGCTCAGTGACTTGTCTCAGGGGTCACTCCTCCAGGAGGGTCAGGGCAGGAGGCAAGACTCAACCTTGGGCCTGACTCAGGCCTGTGGCTGCAGAGTCCCCGTGCTGGTGCCTCGCCTCAGTCAGCCACAGGCAGCGCTCGGGAGATGTTCTGCGGAGGCACCAGCGGCTCTGCTAGATACCGAGATGTGAACTGCAGCTACTCTGGCGGTCTTTATAAATGGAAAGTTCTTGGAGCGATCTCCGAAGCTCCCTTGGGGTCTGGAACACATCCCCCCTCTAGTGGCCGATCTCAGTATTACAGCCCCCCGGTTCTCCCAGAGCCGGGAAGTCAGCCTCGTCTTGGGACTCCACACACCTCACCTAAAACCCCACGCAAAAGAAATTTTTTGGAAAGCTTCTACGGGAATGGCAGCTGGACCTGGCTCAGGAGCCACACAAGAAACCAGTCTTATAAACTTATTTATAGGGCCGAATTTGCTTTGCTCAATTCACTCACCAAACTTGGCTTAGAATTAATTTCCGTGTTTTTCTGAAGTCACATCCACCCCCAAAGGCCCCAGATTGGCCACACTGGAGCAATTCAGAAGAGTGTTCGGTGAGTGCTGAAGGAACTTCGCAAAGACAGTCCCAAAGCCCTTCAGGAACGAAGCCAGCATCTGGGGAGCGTTCTCAATGCGCGAGGGCCAGGGGATAGAGGAATGAGGAAGACGGGCTCCCTGTCCTCAAGGGGGTTGCAGTCCAGGATGCCCTCAGGGTTTGCACAAATAACTGTAAACCTAAGTGTGACCGAAAACATTTTCAAAAAGCGACCTCGCCAAATGTTAAGAGAGCAATTACATTCAGATTGGGGTGGCAATGGGGAAAGAGGTCAGGAAAATTCCAAAAAGTTTGAGCCACTGGCCGGCACTGTGCATGTACAAGGACATCCCCCCCGCCCCCCGCCCCCTGAGGACCGAGCTCTGAAGGTAATGGTCATGAAGACACCCCCATGGATTGGTTAAAAATTCAGACTCAATACTAGAGGGTCAGACCTCGTACAAGAGGGCAGTTTGCCAGGGCTCAGCATTCCCCACAGTGCCACTGCCAACCCACAACTGAGTCAGAAGTGTCTTCGTCATTTTCAGTGACTGAGCGTCCTGACCATCTCTGGGAAGCAGCTCCAATATGAGGCTCCATTTCACCGAGGGAAAACACAGGAGTGGTAATAATAATAAAATAGCAAGGGGTTGAGACGAGGAGCGGGAGGAGGAGGACGAGAGGCAGGAGTTTAGGGGGAGGGGAAGGGGAGAGGCAGGAAGTGGAGGAAAACACTTCAGAGTCTATACCATGTGCTAGGCAATTCCAAGTGCTTTCCTTTTTTTTTTTTTTTTTAAAGATTTTTATTTATTTATTTGAGAGAGAGAATGAGAGAGAGAGAGCACATGAGAGGGGGGAGGGTCAGAGGGAGAAGCAGACCCCTTGCTGAGCAAGGAGCCCGATATGGGACTCGATCCCGGGACTCCAGGATCATGACCTGAGCCGAAGGCAGTCACTTAACCAACTGAGCCACCCAGGTGCCCCCAAGTGCTTTCCATATATTAACTCATTTCACACTGACAACCCTGTGAGGTAGGTCCTGTTACTAGTCCCACTTTTAGAGACAGAGGCAGCTTACAGTCCAAGGTCAAGCAGCTTACAGTGGCAGAACTAGATTCCGCCCTAGACAACGTGACCCTTTGGTTTGGGCCCTAACCGTGCCCCTGCGCTGCCTCTCGTGAAAAAGTATCCTTTAGTTACCCAACATCCCCAGGAATGCAATCTTAAAAGCAGCCAGAAATGTGCTCAGCATGTTCTGTCCAGGGATCTGTGCGCCTCGGACCCACAAGTAGGCACAGAACCGTTTAACTCTATCATTTCAGGAGGAACAAAGCTTATCCTTTTAAACCGAGTAGCTTCAGGCAAAGGGCCATTTCCCCCTTTTGTTTCTGGTTCACCGCACTTCCTATAATGGTAAGATTTGTCCATATGGTTGCATGTACAGTGGTTCCTTCTTTGATTTTTATCCATTATATGCAGAGACCACAATTTGCTCATTCACCTGTTGAAGGGCATTTGGGCTGTTGCCGATCTTTGTCTATTATGAGTGGAGCCACCCAAACAGGCAAGGGCACATTTGATAGTGAAGTATAGGAATGAGCCGGAGGCTGGGTTTTCTAGTGGGTGAGAGTCGTTCGGGCAGCTGGTAGTTCAAATGACACCTTCTTGGGTGCCTGGGTGGCTCAGTTGGTTAAGCGACTGCCTTCGGCTCAGGTCATGATCCTGGAGTCCTGGGATCAAGTCCCACATCGGGCTCCTGCTCAGCGGGGGGTCTGCTTCTCCCTCTGACCCTCTTCCCTCTCGTGCTCTCTGTCTCTCAATCTCTCTCTCAAATAAATAAATAAAATCTTAAAAAAAAAAAATGACACCTTCTTGTCACCTAAAATCAGAATGGTCCAAAAATTGGCTTGTTTCCATTCAGTCACAGAAGGCATTTATAATAGGCATTTTTTTCCCCAGACGGTATTATGAAAATGTGATCGCATTGAAGGAGAGTTGAACACTTTTGAAGTAGCTCATCTCTGGCTGTGGGAGCCAATCAGGCACGCCTGAACACAGTCCATGTGCTCAAGTGCTTCCTGCTTTCTTTGAATGATTTCATTTGATTGTCCCAATGACTCTCTAGGGTGGAGATGGGGAGTGATCATCCCCAGTCTCCGTATGGAGGAACTGAGCATGTTGAAACTGAACGGCACGATGCTGGGCTCCTGGAGACAACATCCACAACTGTCTTTGACCTCCAGAGCATCTACATCTGCAGGGATCCTTTCCGTACATTCCGTTATTCATTCAACAAACATCTGTTGTGTACCGTTATGCAATGTATTCCAAATCTTCTTATGAACATGAATTAGACCCAGCCCCCATCCTTCAGGATCTGGCCCAGGGGGAGAGGAGGCACTAGAGTGGAGAATCACAGCCCAGCACCCCTCAAGGGGCTCCTCGTGGCTTCACATCCTGCTTTTGTTGGATGAACTGCAAAGCTTCATCCTCAGGCCTGACTTTGTTTCCCGCCCCCAACAAGAATCTTTCTAAAAAGTCTAACACACCTAAGGAAAAATGCACACATCTTTATCACCCTGCATATTAAACTGCATAGACCTGGTAAAACCACATCTGGATCTGGGTCAAAGGCAGAACACTGCAAGCACCTCAGAAGATCTCCTTGTGCTCATTCTGCTCCCTAACCCTCCCACCCCCCAGGGAACCACTACGTCACATGCCCTCACCATAGATGATTTTGCCTGTTCTTGAATTTCATAGAGATGGAATCACGCACCATGTGTCTGGTTTCGGCATCGTGTGTGAGATTATTCCCTTTGGTTGGGTCTAGCAGTTCATTCCTTCTTGTTGCTCTAATTGTTCCACTGTGTGACTCTACCATAATTAATTTGTCCTTTCCACTGTTGATGGTCATTTGGGTAGTTTCTAGTTTTGGGCAGTTACAAAGAGTCCCTCTATGAACATTCTCGTGCATGTCTTCTGGCGAACGTATGGGCGCCTTTCTCTCGGGTCTATCCCTTGGATGGGAATTGCTGGGTCATAGGGTGATGTGGTGTTCAGCATTAGCAGATAATGCCCACGAATTTTCCAGAATGGTTGTACCAGTTCACCCTCCCTCCAGCAGCACATGGGAGTTTCAGGGGCTCCACATCCTCACCTGCATTAGTAATTTCATCCTGAACGTTCTATCCGTTCTGGCGGGTATGGAGAGTCATCACACTAAGGTCTTAATTTGCATTTTCCTGATGACTAATGAAGTCGAGCATCTTCAACTATGCTTAGTCACTCTAATATTTTTTACCTGAGATCTGAGTCTGTCATTCCCGCTGTCTGTGCATCTCCATGGACACCAGCAGGCCCCTGCCTGGTGGATTTGCGTGGACGATTCCATGTTCCTGGAATGGCTCCTCCAGATGTTTGCAAGGCTAATTCCTTTGTGTCCCTCCCACCGTTTCTCCAATGTCATCTTCTCAGTGAAGCTAACCCTAATGATCTGGTTTCAAATTGCTGTCTACCCCCCAGCACACCTGATTCTCGTTACCCTGTTCCACTTTCTTTTTCTTTTCCATTACCCTCATTGACTTAACTTACTACATAATTCACTACGCTTGTCAATGATTACTAATGTATTGTTTATGGTCTGTAGAAGATCAGCTCCATGAAGGCAGCTCACTTACGCCTCCCAAAGGCCTAGAACTGTGCCTGACACATAATAAGTGCTCAATAAATATTTGTTGGATGAAGATCTGGGGAAAGTGCATCCTAGGTCCTGGGAACAAGGAGGTCCTAAGGCCCCAGTATGGAAACAAAGTGGACATTCTGGAGGTCCAGACAGGAGGCCCGTGTGGCTAGAGCACAGAGAATGCAGATGAAGGCAAAGAGCCAGGGGGCCTGAATCTTATTCCAGGTAGAGCTAGAAACCCAATCTGTTGCTCTTCCTATATGTCTACCTCTTCTCCTAGGGCGAACAAAGGTCTGCAGTGCATATTTATAAGGTTTTCATGTTATATCTTCACTCTAATTTGCTATTTCTTTAATTTTTAAAAATTTTTAATTGTACTAAAATACACATGACTTAAATAGACCATCCTAACCATTTTTAAGCGTACAGTTTAGAAGCACGTTCACACTGTTGTGCAACCATCACCCCCATCCGTCTCCGGAACTCTTTTCATCTTGCAAAACTACACTAACTGGACTAACTACCCACTAATTAACTACCCACTGAACACTAACTCCCCATTTCCCCCACCTCCTGGCCCCTGGCAGCCCCTACTCTACTTTCTGTCTCTATAAATTTGACTGTCTAGTGACATTGCTATTTCTTCATTTGTGGCCTGCTTTACAAAACATATATTCCTAATTTTTGCCTTTAGAATTTTCTGTTTCTCTAGTTTCTTACTCAGTGTATGTGAAGTATAAATATTTCAAAAACAGTTTTTGTCCATTGTTCACAAACCAGCGTTCATCTTTTTCTGTTGTTCAGCTTTGCAGGAATATTCTGGTGAAAAGTATGTCATCCCTCAAAACCCAGAATTTGGAGTTGCTATTCTTTAAAAGTAGCTACTGTTTAATGATACAATAAATCTCATCAACTTAGGGCTTGTTAAGGAGATAGTTTTG